AGTGTAATAAGTCTTCAGATCACGCGGACAGAAAGACTTTAGTGATGCCAAACACTCTTTGGGCTCTGGGTGTTTTGGGTTGTGTCCTCAGAAGGATTCTCTCACAAAGGCTTCAGAGGTGAGTTGCTCTCAAACGACAAAAGCCATGCACTAACTCTAAGCAGCCACCAATTTATGGCGGAGGAGGTGGGCTATTTATAGCTAGGAGGCAACCTGACATGATTTGTCCGAAATGACCCTGGGTCATTGGGGAACCGACACATGTCCAACAGTCAGATTTCAAACACACGCGACAGCTTGACTTGGGCTACAAGCAAAGCTGACCTATCCAACTCAGGAGAAGATTTTCTCTCATTGTCTTCACTCGAAGACATAGGATTTGGGTTGGGCATCACGTCAATTTTCTGACTTTCTTCACTTGAACCCCACTTGACAGTTCGGTGGTTCCTATGACTCAAGAAGAAGAAAATGAAACTATGAAAGAAACTATGTCTTCGCGCTCCATTATCTTCAAGCGAATGTCTTCACGCTTCATTATCTTCGTTGCGAATGTCTTCGAGAATCATCAATGTCTTCATATATTTTTAGGGGTCATCTTCGATGGGTAAACCAAATCAATAGAGACTTTTACATGTGTTCTCATATGAATCTCACAAACACATTAGTCTCTCAACCACGTTTGTCGTCAATACTCCAAAACCAAGCAAGGGTTGCACTAGATGCACTTACAACCACCACTTGCGTTTTGTATGTTGTATGTAGTATTTACCAAACCGGAGAGTATGTACGCGTAGGATGCAGTATATAATAATGTTTAGGAAGTATATATACTACTTTTTTGGTAGTATGTATCGTGTTTTGAGTATGCTCCTTTTTATATACAAATATGTACGCATTTCGCAAATATAATAAAAAATAATGGGCCAACTTGCTTTTCATGTAACTCAATTTTTCCAATTATAGATTACTAGTTTATACTATCACATGATACTATATGAAACATGTGGGGTAACTATCCATAGATGATAGGATGTATTTTCCTCATATATATATACATAACTTGTTTAGGTTCGCTAAATTTTTAATGGTTTAAAATTTATCAAAAATATGAAATAAATAGTGGAGCATCTCTCTAATGTAATAAGATGATCCAACTGAGGGATTGCGAACATATGCACTTATGTGTCCTCGGCAAAAAAACAAGCATTTCAGCTCACAACGACATAAATAAATAGTGAACTACTTGTTTTTTTTCTTTCTCCAGGACACATAAAGTTGCATTTTTCCAATCGCTCCACTGGATCATGTTATATTATAAGTGTGTTGTTTCAGTATTTTTGGAACTTTTACACCCTTGAAAACATAACCACACTTTTTTAATCGGTCATCGGGGGATGGGATCCTCCCCTCCTGAATATATTGCTCAAAAAGTTGCCGAAGCTAAGAGTCACCTCTTAAGCTTTGGTTGATTCAGTTTATAAGAAAAACCAAATCAAAAACCTAAATAAATTTACCTCGTTTATGAGAAAAACCGGGCAAAAACCCATACAAGTAATGAAGTTACAAAAGATGAGGAAAAATGACACCAAGACAAGGCCCAACCTAGCTAGCAGACCAAAGGACTAACACCATGGGAGGCACAAGTATATGTGGGGTGTCGTGGAGGGATCCCAATACCAAGACTAAGCAAGCAACCTAATGCACCGCACTAGCGTGCAAACCGAACCTCACGACACAACTCAGGAGAAACCACAACTAACGAGTGACAACACGAACCTTGATTGGGAGCTTCGCCATGAAAAACCAGAACGATTAGCAAGTTGGGAAGGCATCTTGCGTCATCGAAGAGCAAAAATGACCTGGAACGACACCAAGAGCACTAGGCTCACCGCACCACAATGGCCACCAAGGGAGGTACTTGAACATGCACAACAACATGGCCGAAACCAAGGAATGCCACCGAAAATGAACACATAGGAAGCAGGGCAGCAACTACACAGACCACCATCGACCCCAACCGGCCGCACCACCACCACCAACATTCCTTCAGCAAGCAACACCCACACAACAACCATATTGACCCCAAAAATGACGCCTTCAAGAAGGGCCACGATGCTAGTTGCGCCGCCATCATCCATACAGCAGGACCTGGACTAGGGGTTTCCCCCGGGGTCTCGACGAGGAGGGTGCAAACAACAAAAACAACGATGCCTCTAAGGAGGTTAGCGGCGCCCACGGGTCTCACATCGATAGTTTCTTCATTTTTCTCCGCCTTACTAAATCATACTTCCTCCGTCTCTTACTACGGAAGAGTTCACAACAATTAGGGTAATTTGTGAGGGAGCCCCCTTTTCTTCGTATATGTTCTTGATCTCTGGATAGTCAAATACTCCCTCCATTCCAAAATAAATGATTAACGGAACAATGGGGTTTCCCTGATAAATTGCCTTTAACTGTTGTGAACTCTTCCATAGTACTTGAATTGAATCTTAATTTTTACCATCCTTTTGTTCATGGTCACGGGCGCTCGGGTGGAAGTGGAACGCACCGTTTCCCTAGACACATTGACCACAGGTCGTCGTATAGCGGGAGTGGCCTCCATCTCCATCCCCTTGTTATCGGGAAGAATGAGATAAGACAAGAGGAGGCGCGGGTACTTCCTTGCCGCCGGATTCATGACTTAGGCCAACTTCACTGTGCGACCCTATCCTGTCCGTCCTTGTCCGTTTGGGGTAAAAGGGACAAATGAGACGGCCCAGCGCGCGGGCGCAAACGGACTTTTATCCGCTTTCGACCCATCCCCGGCCCAAGTTTGCGCCGGTTTGGAGGTTAAACGGACATCGCGTGGACGGGCGAGACGCACGCGCTTATCCTCCCCTGGCCCGCCTATCGGTGGGAGAAACCACCCCCACACCCATTTGGCGCCATTTCCCCAACCCTCCCACGTCTCTCCCGCCGCCCCCTCTCTCCCCCGTCCATGGCCGACGCCCCGTCGAGTTCGGCGGCCTGGCCATCGACCCGCCCGCAAAGGTGAAGAAGAAGGCGCCAAGGAAGCCACGGTCAGAGTGCACGCTGGAGGAGATCGCCAAGTTGGACGCGGAATTGACGAAGAGGAGGGAACGGAGAGCGGTCGTCAAGGTCAATGCCGCCGCGACCAAGTTCGTCGCCCAACGCGATGAGCTGGAGGCCGCGCGGCGCAATGCCGCGGCCGACGAGAAGGAGGACCTCGTCAACAAAGCGCACGCCATCCTCATGCTTGGCATGGGCCGTCCGGCCGGGTTCCCTGCAGCGGCCGTCGGCCCGGCGAGCACAGGCTCGTCGGTCGCCCGGCCTACACACTGCCAATCGCCGACCTCGCGCACCGCGCCCATGTCGCCCGACTTTTCTCCGCCAAGGCATGACGGCTAGACCCGTTTCTCGAGGTCGCCGGACATGGGCTTGTTCGCGCCGTCGACACCGCGCCCCGCGACCGTCATCGACCTCAACGTCACGCCTGGGTCAAGACCAACTCCAAGGTTGATGACATACGTGATGCCTCATCCATGACATTGCATGACACTTTGCATGGCATGATGTCCCTAAAGGATGTGAGGGACAAGAAGAAGCGGCAAAGCAAGGAGGAGCAAATGAAGCAATACCTAGACCTTCAAAGAAAGAAACTTGAGATAGAGGAGGCGGCCAAGAGGAGGAAGATCGACATGGAGGAGGTGGCCCGGCAAAGGCATCCCGACATGGAGGAGGCGGCCCGGCAAAGGCAGCTCGACATCGAGGCCGACAATGTCAAGGCCAGGCAGAGGCAGCTCGACACCGAGGCCATGAATGCCGCCACCAAAGCGAAGGAGGTGGCCCTTGCGATTATGAGCGTGGACTTGTCGAAGATGAGCGACAAGACGAGGGCCTGGTTCGAGGCCAAGCAGAAGGAGATGCTCGACGCCGAAGGCCTGAACTAGGTCGTCCGATCGGCTGTGGCCGTTCTTTTTGGAGGTTGACATGAGTGTCGCCCGCCCGCTGGGCCGCTGGCTGTGTGCCGGCGAGAAAACATTCATTTTGATGGCCGGCTGTGTTGTCGGCCGCTGACTGTGTTGCCGGCGAAAACAACTATTCATTTTGGAGGGTGGTTGTGTTGCCGGCCGCTGGCTGATGCCGGTGATGAACGTGTAGGCCGCTGGCTCTGTTGCCGGCGTGATGAACCGGGGCCGCTGGCCTGAACTAAGGCTTGGTAGTTGAAACGTTGGTTTTGATTTTTTAAATAAATATGGACATGATGGGGCAAATGGATGCGGCCGCGCGCTGGGCGCACGGCCACCGCATCCCAGTACACGCCCGAATACGACCCAAATCCCTATCAAACAGACAGAATCCGATTACGCGGTGGAGTTGGCCTTACCGACCTACTGCGCCGCCTCCGGCCATCTCTCAAATATGGGACTATCGTACTGGCGGCGGAGGAAAGCATGTGCGTCCCTTCCCGTCGTGGCAAACGGAAGCGAAATCAAAGCCTCACTCTGTTTTCTCTGCGCCCTCTCCCTGACCCTTCTCCTCTTAGGCTTAGCCTTGTTTGGCTGTAATGGCTGGACTGGAGGACCTGAAGCGGAGGCTGCAGCCCATCTTCTTCGACGCCGATGGCAATGTTGTGCCGCCCCCCGCCGCCGACGGGACATCCGACGACTCCAGCTCTGACGACTGCGAGGTAACCACTCTCTTCGTTTCAGCCGTTTGGCCAGTTCGCTGAGATCTATGTTTATCTTCATTCTGTTCAACCAACCAAATTCCTTGCTTATGTTGCTCATAGTATGTTTTTTCTTAAGCCTGCTATAAAAATATATATGATGCTCATATTTAATCTTACTTTTGTAAAGGTTTTGGATAGTGGAACTGTCAATTTATTGAGTAGGTCCTCTGATGAATATAACATCAGTAAGCTTGGCTTCCATTAACGAACAACCAGACCAGATGGGGACTATGCTACAGATAAGGCATATCGATGCTCTTGTCATGATATGCATATTTTTGATTCTGTTGGTATTGGTGCAAGCAGCGTTGTCCATAGAGCTATTTATGTACCAGTCCATCGAGTTTTGGCACTCAAGAAAATTAGCATTTTTGACAAGGTGAGTGCAAAACTTTTTATAGTCCATATGCCATAAGCTGACATCTCTAGGTTCCCCTTACATGAAACAAAATCTATGGATACCCCTTTTTTTCTTTTTCTTTTAATTAACTTTCACATGGAACTACAAGTGTAGAATTCATGGCTTATTCTCCATTTAATGCCTATTCATAGACATTGTTTGGACCAAGCTTATTCTCTTTATATTTATTATAACGTATTCTCTGATATATATTACAGGAAAAGAGACAACAGATTCTTAATGAGATCACAACGTTATCAGCAGCATCTTGTTATCCAGGTTTAGTTGAATTCCAAGGAATTTTTTACACTCCGGACTCTGGAGAAATATACTTTGCTCTTGAGTATATGGATGGTGGTTCATTAGCAGATATTATCAGGGTCAAGAAATTCATAACAGAACCAGTTCTTTCACATATGCTACAGAAAGTGTTGCTAGTACGTGTCTCTTGCCTCCATATGTTCTGATGTTAGCTCTATTCAAATCAGGCCTGTGAAATTTAAGTGACTAGTTAGTCTCTGTTAATTTATTAGGCTCTGCGCTACTTGCATGAAGTGAGGCGTTTAGTTCACAGAGATATAAAGCCAGCAAATTTGCTTCTAAATCTAAAGCGTGATACGAAAATTACAGACTTTGGTGTAACTTCTGGACTGCATGATTCAGTTACCATGGTATGCTACTTCTTGGTGATCGAAACTTCTCTTAGGAACAGCAAGCTGTTCTAAAATAGTATTAAGTGGAAATCTGACTATCTAGATTGAATAAGCGGTATATATGTGTAGTAATTGTCTTCCAGTGTGCTACCTTCCTGGGCAGTGTCACATATATGTCTCCCGAGAGAATTCGGAACGAAAATTACTCATATGCTGCTGATATCTGGAGCCTTGGACTAACAGCATTGGAGTGTGCAACTGGAAGATACCCATATGATGTAAATGGGGGCGAGGCCGACCTCATGCTGCAGGTGAGGTGGTTGGCGGTCAAGCAGTGTTCATTTGTATAATTTTCTACTGCCTTTCGTGATCATCTTATTTATGGAAAAAAAATCATGATCTCATTTATGTGCATCTGTTGGTATATTGTTAATTAAAGCTGTTTTCGAAATTTGGCTTGTTTTTCGTAGGCGTTCTACATCTGTTTCGGAATTTCTACTGGATTTAGAACTTCTATTTCATTTCTGCTTTCCAACATGAATGGTCTGACAATAATGCAATACTAGTTCGGTAGTTCCTCTTGTGAGTATTATATTATTGATGTATAGTGCAATCCTCCTTTCCCACCTTACTGTGTTGCAGTCTTGCAGATATTGGAAGATCCATCGCCAACACCACCACAACATATGCATTCAGAAGAGTTTTGCTCGTTCATTGATGCTTGCTTGCAGAAAGATGCTGATGCAAGACCAACATGTAATGAGGTAAAGTGACGTCTAGTACAATTACTTTTTTCAAGAGAAACGATACGAGGGTTTCCAACTGCGTAAATCTTGTGATAATCTTTATTTATTATTTATTTTTTGTGGGGAGTGATAAACTTTATTATGCAGTAAGTATAGGATTTTGCGACACTATCTGAGAGTAATGTCTGATGGATGTTTCAGCTCTTTAGTCAACAGATTAGCGGTCTAAGGTGTGTCTGAGGTGATAATTGCAAAAAAGCGGTCTCATATGTTGAATTGTTTTACAAATTATTCATTGTCAACTAACTACATAAATAGGTTATTTGCAACAAAGACGAAATGGGGTTTATTTTCCTCTCTGAAAGAAAAATCTTATTTGAATTACATACTGAATATCTTGTAGCTTTTGTCTCATTCCTTCATCAAGAAATACGAGGGACCTGGTGTGGACTTGGCAGAGTACAACAAAAGTGTTCATGATCCAGCGGAAAGATTATCGCAGATAGCACATGTGAGTTCCTAATAGCTTTCGTTATCTTCTGTTTTTCCTGTTCTGCTGCCTTTCCATATGGAGGAAAATGAACCTGATGTTCCACAAGTTCACATACAATGATGTTGGCTATGCTTAGACAATAGAACATTCCGACAATTCAACAAATAAACTGACTCTTACTGCAGTTGTTTCAATCTTTTTAATCTGGTTTCTTGCTATCCGGGATTCAAAATATTCATGTTAAAATTTTTGACCTCATTGAGGATTTCGGTTGCCACAAGCATAGTTTAAAAAACCGGACCGGGCCAGTGGTCGGACCGGGAAAAACTGAACCGGCGGCCTCGGCCGTTTTTTAAGCTAATAAGACCGTTCTGCAATTGGACCGGAGAAAACCAGTCAAGCCGGCCAGTTTTCTGAAAAAAAAACGCTAAATAAACCAGGCCTTTGAACTGGAAAAAACCAGGAAAATGGTTAATGTAGAATTTGGGAGAAGCGGGAGTAGTAGGCATTGCGTGCTCATGGCCCAATAACCAACTCGGATGTGCTACTTTGTTGTCTATTATAGGGAAGTAATTTTATTCGATCATTGTTTAACACTGTTTTATTTGTCCATTGTCTACTAAATGTATATTATTTTATGGTAAAAAACCGACGATGAACCGATGAACCGGCGGTCCAACTGATGAAAACCTGAACCGACAGGCTCACAGGTTCGATCTTCGGTTCAGTTTTTTAAACTATGGCCACAAGTATATCTCAGAAAAAGAAATTGGAGCAGGGAAAAACATGATTTGTGGTTTTGCTATCCATGGAGTGGGACGAATTTACAGGAACTTTGCCACCGCCAAGTCACTTACCATTTCGCTTGAATATACTCGGCCCTAAACGTTTCTCCCCTCAAATATGAGTGCACCCGTCATGCTCACGCGGCTGCTCACCTCAGCTACAGCCGCTTACGCCGCTGCTCTCTTCACCTCCAACCACTCTTGAAATAGTCTTTTGCCCTGCTTTATAGATAAAGCAGCCACCATTTCCACACAAGTAGTTAAAGTGCAGGAAAGTAAATAGAAGGTCTGCTGGGGCACAAATAAGCCCAAAAGCAAAAAAGAAAAGGCGACACAAGACTCCGCAGAGTTAAAAGATCAACTGACAGGGGGCGAAGCGAGTTGGCGGACTGCCACCAGAAGATCATCAATCATGCCGTCTAGCCGGTCCCTGTCCCGCTGCCTACAAAGCGGGTACCACTGCCGCAAGAAGGCCAAAATTTTAAACACAGAGTCAGAAGCACACTGCAAGAGGACTCACTTGATAACCATCTTGTCACGTACAGTCCATTGGGTCCAGGTAATCACTGCGAACACTAACCTGAAGAGGCGCCTCCTCCTACCGGTATGTTTGGCCTGAGCCTCCAGGAACTCGCTCAGGTCCGGCGCCTGCCACTCAAGCGCTAGAGCCTCACGGACAAAGTTCCATAAGGAGGCAGCGGGACGAGAGAAGAAAATGTGGGTCCTGGTCTCCTGGATTTGGAAACCACACAAAGAAGGCTAAGGCCATCACCCAGCCCATGCCGCTTCGCCACCTCCAAACCCGATGGGAGGCGATTACAGAGCAGCTGCCAAACAAAGATTTTGATCTTCAGGCAGTGGAGCTTTTCACAAGTGGGAGGTCCACACAAGGGTCGACACACAATAGAGGGCACGGTATGCCAACCCGGCAGAGAAGAGTGCCGAGGAGGTGACTGTGCCAAGACACGACGCCCGGCGACCTAAACAGCGATGATGGAAGAGCCGTCCGCAACTCGGTCTAGGCTAAGGTTTCCTTTGGCCGAATGTTCGTTGGAACGGTATGTCCCAATTCCCATTGTGGGCCGCCGAGGCTACCAAGAGCACCGGATCCGAGCAAATCATGAAATGGTCCGGGAATTTGGCACGCAACGTGGTCCTACCGAGCCACGGGTCGAGCCAAAAGAGGGTACCCTCTCCATCGCCTATGAAGAATTGATACCCAAGTGAATCTCATGCTTGATCGACTGGAGGGATTTCAAGAACTGAGATCCTTCCCAACGGTCACAAGCCAGGAGAGGGTGGCCCTGCAGGTGTTTGGCTTTTATAAGCTGCAGCCATAGGCCACCCTCGTCCCCATGGATCCGCCACACCCACCTCAGCATGAGTACCACATTTGAACTGCTCCCAGGGGCAGCAGAAGTGTGCTCGCTGTTGATGTATAAATGTATTGCCTAGTCTCTTCCATCAGATTGGTCTTTTGGTTGCATTGACTAGAGCATGCACTTCTACATGGTATTAGAGTCAAGAGGTCTTGAGTTCAAGACCGGCTGGCGCAATTAAATTGCAGGCCACTTTCGGTCCACGTTTAGGCCTGAGGGAGCCACACGTGAGGGGGAGTGTTGACATATGAATGTATTGCCTAGTCTCTTCCATCAGATCGGTGTTTTGGTTGCATTGGGTAGAGCATGCACTTCTACACTCCCCACGGTGGAGCACATCCAAACCGGAAAAGAGAGAAGAAAAAAAGGAGGTGTGCTCCTGCACGAACCACAGGTCTGCTGCTCCCGCGCTGGAGCACATCGGAACCCGAAAGGAAAAATGAAGGTGTGCTTCCATCGCGGGTGGAGCACATGAAGTTGTGAACCTTAGGTTCATTTCAGATATGGCTGGTAAATTTGGTTACACTTGAAGTTGTGAACCTTAGGTTCATTGATCTATGTGTAGTAAAAGATCAAGTACTTTCTGAAAAAAGAATGTAGGCCTCCTCATCTAAGAGTATTACCTTTTGATACCGAAATGCTGTTTCCTGACTACAGGCAAACCGCGTACTCATTTGATATTGAATATGTGTTAGGTTCATTGATCTATGTGTAGTAAAAGATCAAGTACTCTCTGAAAAAAGAATGTAGGCCTCCTCATCTAAGAGTATAACCTTTTGATACCGAAATGCTGTTTCCTGACTACAGGCAAACCACGTACTCATTTGATATTGAATATGTGATCTGCCTTTGATACCCTTTGTTTTGAAGGAAGGGTATTTCTTTTACGTATATTGGTACACAAAGGTAAGTTCCTTGCTTGTTGCTTGAATCATAGGCAGATGTCTGAGTGCATGTTTGCTCTAATACATTAGCCAGAGATATATAGTTTGGTAGCGTTTGTTAAGTCAACTACTCATCTACGTGACTTACGGCCATTGTTATGTTTATTGCAGATGCTTGCTGTACATTACTACCTGATCTTTGGTGTCACATGAAGTCATTCTATGGACAAGATTCTACTTTCAGGTAGAGGAATATCTTGGGCTACGTTTCTCTCGTAGTAACCAATCCCTTACTGTATTTTCCAGTTGTCCAAAATACCTTAGCTTCCACTGTTGCTTGGATCACATGTCTTTATTATGCTTGGCTGCGGAACTATAATTGAACTTTCTTTCCTGTTATTTTACATGAACTGTGCAGACTTATTGACATGATATTTTTATTCTAGTTTCTCAGGGGAAACACATGTCGGTAAGAGCGACATATTCGATACTTTGTCAAGAATAAGGGAAATGCTAAAAGGTAACAACCGTTGCGAGAAGATTGGCCGTGTGATGGAGAAGGTTTACTGTCGTGCGCATTGGGAAGAAGGGATGAGTGTCCGAGTTTCTGGATCATTCATTATGGGGAACGAGTTCCTTGTGTGCGCAGATGGGTTTTGCGCTGAAGGGATGCTAAGCATGGTCGAACTCTCTCCCGACATTCTCAGCAAGCAGGCAGGCCATTTCCAGGAAGATTTTTTCATGGAGCCAGGGACTGCCATGGGATGCTATGTGATATCAAAGCAAGAATTGCACATCGGCGTATCATGAAGTCATTCGCCTTCTTGCATGCAATCATTACATATGATGATTTTTGTGCTTTTTACTGCCGTGCATTTGCTGAACTGATCTATCATGCATGTTATCTTCCCATTTGACGCTGAAGAAAATAATCTTCTAGCATATCGACATATATCGACATTGAGATATTGGAATCTATTATTTTTCTCGAATACGCACGAGTGTGCGTATTATATATTAATAGAAGGAAAAGGAGGAAGAGCCCCATCCGTGAATATTTACATGGCGTTTACACAACGCGATCCACCGTGGTCTCTAGGTGGATTACTCACCGTGTACCCACCCATCTACTCCTACACCTACAGGGAAAATGTTAAGATCAGCGTGCTCCAGATCACACCCTCTGATTCTATCCTCCATAGCACATGTCGCACATCCGGGCTTTTTCCATCAAATACAATTGAATTCCGATGCTTTCACAACTCCCACGTAACCAATACCTGGATGGCAGGAGGTCTTGGCATATCTTCCAATATGTGTTGCGTGTGTGCTCCACGTCAATAGGTCCTCTCGTGTGATGATGCAATCCTCTCCGTGTGATGATGCAAGGCCGAACATACCCACAATTAGTCCACACTTCTCTCGCAAAGACGCATTCAGTTAGGAGGTGGTTAATAGTTTCGTCTTCCTGATCATAGAAGGGGCAAGTGTCCTGATGTGGAAGCCCTCGCCGTGCCAGCCTGTCTGATGTCCACACTCTATTCATAAGTGCAAGCCATGCAAAGAAGCGATGCCACAAGGGGGCATTTGATGGCCATGTGAAGCTTGCCGTGGGTGAAACGTGTTGTGTGGCGAACTTAGCCGCGTATGCCGATCTGACCAAAAACTGGCCATCTTTCTCCCACGACCACATTAGTTGGTCCGGCCGCTGTGCATCCAAGTTCGTTCTTTCCACATGTGTCCAAAGTTGCAGGAATTGGTCTAGCTCGCCCTCGTTCATGTCCGGTCCAACATCTCTTGCCCATATTGCGTGTAATATTGCATCCTCAACTGTTCTGGTGTTCCTCGCCTTCCTCGGTACCTTTGCATATATCTCCAGAGCGAGCTCATGTAGGCGGTAGCCATTGCACCACCTATCCTCCTAGAATAAGGTCGTCCGGCCGTCCCCGAGAGACGTTCTTGCCGCCGCTTGAAAAAGGGCTCTGGCCTCATCTGGTATGCTGAACTTGAACTCCGCCCAAGATCTAGTTGTGTCTGCCTGCTGAAGCCACAACCACTTTGCTTGGAGTGCGACATTCATCCACTTGAGATTTGTCACTCCAAGTCCACCTGCCCATCTTGGCCAGCACATCATCTCCCATGCGACCGCACATTTGCCTCCACCAGCATCTTCTTTCCCACACCATAAAAAGCCTCTGCATATTTTCACCGTCTTGATCGTTTTTGTTGGCAGTTCCATGGCAAGCATGGAATGCACCGGGATAGCGGACAAGACCGACTGAACAAGGATCATTCTATTGCTCTTGGGCAGTGAGGCTGCCTTCCAAAACGGCAAGCGCGTTGCAAGTTGCTCTACCGGGTCCTAGAACTGCGCTGCACTTTGCTTCTGAATAGAGAGTGGCAGGCCCAGGTATCGGCAAGGGAAGGTGGCTGTTGTACAATCCAACATTCTGGACAGCAGTTGCATTTCCTCTAGAGTGCACCTGATCGGTAGTGCAGAGCTTTTCTGCCTGTTAACCCTGAGACCCGAGGCGTGTCCAAACAAGTCCAGGATCGCCGAGCAAGTCAGGATGTCTTTTTTGCTTTGGCTTCAAGAAGATCATCACGTCATCAACATACATAAAAATCCGATGTTTCAATCCAGTCCCTGCCAGGGGGGTCAGCAAATCCACCACCGTGCAAACAACCTCTGAAGTGGCTCCATGCAGAGTATGAACAACATGGGTGAAAGGGGGCTTCCTTGCCTTAAACCTTGGCAATTGAAGATTGTTTCCCCAGGTACACCATTCACCGAGATCTTTGTGGATGTGGTCGCAAGTAACCCATAGATCCAGGATATCCACTTTGTGCCGAAACCCATCTGCGTCAGCACTTCAAGCAAGAAAGGCCATTGGACGGAATCGAAAGCTTTAGATATGTCTAGCTTGACGAGAGCCGTAGGGCCCTTCAGAGCATGCAATCTACGTGTCGTTCCTTGCACTAACATGAAGTTGTCATGTAGGGATCTTCCCCGCACAAACGCACTTTGATGATTGCCCACCAGGAACGGTAGATCGGTTGCGAGTCTGGTGGCCAATACCTTGTCAAAAAAAATTCACCGCTCCATGATTTAGACTGACTGGCCTAAAGTCTTTGATGTCCACCACTCCGACCTTCTTCGGCAAGAGTGAAACTGTGGCTTTATTGATTTCCTGCATCCCCCTCATGTCTCCACAATGGAATTCTTTGAGTGCTCTCATGAAATCTTCCCTGATAATCATCCAAGAAGTTGTGTAGAAATGTCCTGTGAACCCATTTGGCCCTGGCGCCTTGTCCAAGGGCATTGCTCTGATAACCTTCTTGACCTCATGAGTAGAGAATGGCGCGTCCAGGTGCGCCAGGTCCCTCCTCGGCAGCCCCAGCACCTCTAAGTTTAGAGTGCAGCTCCTCTTCGTGGCTGACCCCAAGAGTTTCCCATAGTATGCATCTACTGCTTGTGTAATGCTCTCCTGGCCTGTGTGTACATGTCCGTCCGAAGTAAGGAATAGAATCAGGTTCTTCCTCTATCAATGTCTAGCCTGCCGGTGAAAAAAGGCAGTATTGGCCTCCCCCTCCTTAAGTTGCAGGACCCCGGATCGCTGGCGGGCGATCGATCGCTGTAGCGAGCAGAGTCCCAGCATTTTTCTCTTTAGTATCTTGCGCAACTCAAATCTCGTGTCCGTGAGATCTCTAGAGTCCATTGCCGCATCGAGTCGAGCAATCACTTCTAGTGCAATTGCGATTTGCAGCCTTATGTTTCCGATCCACTTGTCGCTCCACCATTGCAGTGCTTTAGTGGTAGCCTGCGGCTTCCTGTCAAGCACAGCATAGGCATTCCCGTCAGAGGCGATCGAGCTCCATGCTGCCTCCACTGTCTCAAAGAATCTGTCCGCCTTAGGCCAGAACTGCTCGAAACGAAACTGTATGCCATATGTGAAGTCCGCCTTAAGGTCCAAGAGGAGGGGGCAATGATTCGAAATTGTCGATCCCAAGGCCGTGAGCAGGGCCACCGGGTGTAAGTCATCCCATCAATTTGTTGTGAAGATGTGATCAATCTTCTCTAAAGTTAGCCGCCTTCTTTCGTTAGACCGTGTGTAGCTGCGCCCATTTAGGTACATCTCCTTAAGCCCGAGCATGTTTGTTTTCCGTCGGAATTTGGCCAGCATACGCCTGTTCAGCGCGTCATTGTTCTTGTCTTGCGGGTTGACAGGTAGGTTGAAATCTCCCACAATGGCCCATGGGCCAGCATGTAGGTCTCGTATGTCTACCAGTTCCTGCATGAACTCTACCTTTTCAATGTCCGTTTGAGGGCCATAAACGCCAGTGATCCACCAGTGGCTCCCATTTCGCGGGGTGACAAGGGCTGAGACCGTGTTGGTGGTGTAATAAGGTTTCGAGAGCTTGACAACATTATCATCCCACGCAATCAGGATTCCTCCACGAGTCCCCGTAGCCGACAGGTAAAATAAGTTCTCCAGTTTATTGCCGAGGCAATGCCTTACAATATTGGGCGTCATTACCTTGATTTTTGTCTCTTAGAAGCAAACAATGGCCGGGTCCACCGCCCCGACCACCTGGTAAATCGTACTACGCCGCGCAGGTGAGTTGAGACCGCGCACGTTCCACACTAGAAGTTTGTATGGTTGCATATCCATGACACATTCCTACCTCCACATGCCCCATCTCCTTACTGCCGAACCTTCCCATCCATCGCCTCATCCTGCAACGGAAGGATCGGCACCTCCCAACCAAAAAGGGCTAGGATCGCTGCTACATGTCCATCTATGAGCGGCTTTGAGAACAAATCTATGTACATTTGTAGTGCTTTGTCTGTGATCACTTCTGCCTCATTTGCCAAGCAAAGCTTGCGTATGAGGATCTGCTGCTGCTTGGAGCACACAGAACGGTGGCCCGGTCCCTTAGCCAACCGCACACTTCGCCGCAGACTAGATACAGGTAGACGCTTCTGCCTCCATCTTCTCATAGCCGCGAGTGGCACCCGATCCCCGGGCCGAGCCAGGATTGGGTCCAAAGTTTTCTGCACCTGAGCACAAAACTGAGCCACCTGCTCTCTTGTGTTGTTATTTGCAGGCCGGGGGGTGGGCGTGCTCGTGATCTCACCATCCTCCTCTTGCAACTAATCGTCCTCATCTGAATGGCCAGATAGGCTGACCTGGATCGTGTTCATGTCCGTC